AAAAATTACTAAAAATTTCATTTGCCATTCCAACTCTCAAAAATAACAACAAATAATAAAAGTTTTAAATTTAATTTATTGCTTCGTAGTGATTTTTGTTTTAATGTACCGTAATGTTTAACATGTAATTTTGATGAGGATGTAACATTTTTTATTTTGGTCAAATTTTCTTGAAAAATTCAAGTTTTTTTATTTTGTGTTCATATTTTATAAAATACTCCTATTATTTTCTATAACTTTTTAAAAAAGTGTATCGGTAACCTGTGACCTTAAAATTAAATTGGCAACACTGAATAACATAAAAACAAACAAAAGGTGTAAAAATTTTAAATTTTCATATCTTCTGTTTCCACGTTTTTCAATCTTCAAGACACTCAGAGTGTTACCAACAGATTTTTTGGTCAGTTTTTCTGTAACCATTTTTTGCTTTATCAGACTTTGATTTTGTAGATTACAAATTGTATTTTGTTTTAAGCGAATTACGATTTTAATTTAGAATTAGAGTGGGAGTTGTCAAGCAAAAACACCTTAGCTGAGACATCCTATACAACAATAAATATGTGCCTTTTTTACATAAACATTTGTAAAAATATTCAAAAACATATTAATCTCGCAACATATTGCAATAAAGATGTGGAAGCAGTATAACACTTAGTATTTTTTGTCGGCTCCAGTGCACACACAGATGAACCGGAAAGCGACAATAACATCAAAGTTATGTTCATTCATTATCATAATTCATTAATGTTACTAAAGCGCCGCCACAATTGTGTTTTATCAATAATTTTAAGTAACTCAGCGAAAATTACACAAAAAACTTGGATTTTTTGCAATTATCAGTGTTGGTCCAACAGAATTGCATTATTTCGTCCTACTTCCCTTTAAACCATATGTGTCACTATCTTGTAAGCCGCAATGAAAATGTATTCAGTTTTAACCACTTCCTTTGCCGACATTTCAATAGTTGTCTGAGTATAGTGGATATGAAATTTTTGTGCTATTAAAATTAATGAACTTTTATTTTCTTCTGGGATAATGTTATGATGTCTGAACAAGATTTTTATCTTTTTATCAGAGAGATCTGAATAATTATTCATGCGAATGCAAACAGCTAAGCCCGCATTATTTTTTAGAGACCATCTTCATCGTTACAGTTTTTTCTTTGGAAGCAATCTCCCATAACACACTTATTTTCCTTTGTCGACAAATTTTCGTAATATCTTTAGTAAACATTAATAATGTCGTGAGAGAAACTACATTTACAACAATACCTTCGGCTCAGTTTAATGACAGACAGACAATAATTAAATCCCACAATTTTGAGTTTTTCTTTACTTTGTTCTTAATGTTGTTGAAATCGTATGTAAAAATATTTTCCACCGGTAATTTAAAACAAAGGTAATCACCGCTAAAATTTTTCTTCTTGCTAAATAAAGGGAAAAACAATGACATGTAAAATACACGTTATGCAAACGACGAAACGATGCATACATTCTTATCCAGCAATGTTACAATGAAATTTTGAAAACTGCGTCATTACGAAATTGTGGGAAAGTCAGTGTGAAACGTTTACACACGCAATCTTGTACGGATTTTCAACCAAAATTTTCCCTTTAATGATGGGGATATGGGATTAGAATAACATCATCGAGTATTCATGACAAAAAAATTCTACAATTAAAATCGCATAGTTTGAAAATTAGATACAGCATAAATCACTCATTATCGACGAAAATTATTGTTGTCATAAACATGGTAAATTACCTAAGTATGATGTATTTATAAAATTTTCGTCCACCAAATAATTAAAGAATGTCTAAAAGCAAAACTTATCGAAATATGAGTGAGAGCTTTTCAGAAACGTTATAACGGTATCCTGCATTGTTTTGTGAAATAAAATTTATATCTAAATTCCTTATTATTGTACCTAAACTCAAAAATAAGTCCAAGTTCTCTAAGAATATGCATTTTAAACATTACCTAACAAATTAATAGCCCTCATGTGATAAATGTATGACATACAAAAATCTTTAGTAGGTCATAAATAAGGTCAGTAACAAATTTGCGTAAGCAAAAGTAACCGATAAACTTTCTCTTAAAAACCGTAAAGGAAATATGGCATTTTGAGATGATTTACCTAATAGAAAAAAGTGATATAAAAATTAGTCTTCTTTTTTTGGTATAAATTTATTTTCTAGTGTTGTTTTGTTTTAAAGTATTGTAATTTTTAAG